CCTATATAGTTCATTACTATTCTAAATTTAAATCACAATTTATTCTAATGAACTTCTTCTTAATTTATTTATCCAGAAATGAGAAGAAAAAGAAGAAAGTTGGATCAAGATCGAACTGAGAAAATGAGATGTTACCAAACACAATTTATAGCGCTCTATTGTATGCACAGGATCGGACCACGTATATACTACATTGCATTAGTTAGGTGGGGAAGGTGGCCTGGTTGACGACAATATAATTCAACTTGTGGACAGATCCGGGATCATCTGAATCACTGAATGGCTACTTATAAAGACTAGACACCACATTTCATAATTCAATATAATTTTTTAAAATTTTGCAATTGCTTTCAATGACGATCTTCTCGCAACGTTTACTATTTCCTAATGTTCTTCATTCCAAAATTGTCTCATTTGAGTACCATGTGTCCTCTACTCATCCAAACATGAAGCTCCACACGTATTTGAACAAGTATTCAAACGCTCAATTTTATCATCAGTTCCATTTTTTAAAATCATCTGTTTCCCGCTCATGTTCTTCTTGCCAATCCAAGAAACATGATTATTGTTTTCGCCCATCTGCAGTTCTAGAAAGTTTGGAACACACAGTAACGATACATCGTACTTCCTTAATATTTCCACTAGAGGAAACAGAAAGAAAATCTATGTTCCTTTCCAACATAGATAAACGTCTTAATATTAAGGCTACTGCAATCTTCTTCTTTTCCAGGAATCCAAAATTTTCTTTTGAACAAATTGTAACAAAACTGGAAAGTGCATTAAGAAAGATTCTAGTGCATTATGATTTCTTGGCAGGAAGGTTGAGATGGAATATTGAAGGTCAACTAGAAATTGATTGCAACGCGGCAGGGGCAGGATTTGTCGTAGCATCGTGCAACTCATCATTTGAAGAGCTGGGAGGTATTATTGGATCTTCAAATGTAGCAAATCAAAAATTTGCACTTAGAAAGTGGAATGCCTTACCTGATGACCAGCCTCTCTTTCTCATGCAGGTATATCAAGCTTAGCAAAAAAGCATGCACTACTATTTTGGTATTACACTTAGAAGTAAATAACCTCTAAAGATAGACTAAGAGTCGCATCATACAATGTTCTTACCAGTCACCACTTGATTCTTTGACAGCAGGGCCTATATATTTAGATCGGTTTCCAGTATTAATTACAGAACAAATTAAAGACATTTTCTTGGATAGGGATTTAATTAATCTAAATTTTTAAAGACGACTAACTTCTGTTTTTCTCCTTGTTTTTCTGTTCAGGTGACTTTGCTCCAGTGCGGTGGATTTGCACTAGGCGTTGCTCTGAATCATGTAACTGGTGACGGCATCACTTTCAAAATTTTCTTGGAAAATTTAGCCTCTCTGCTTTCGGGTAATGATTTTGTGTTACCTCCATACAGTAATCGTCACCTTCTAGCAGCTAGGTCTCCACCTCGTGTGACATGCCCCCATCCAGAGATGTTCAATTTTGAAAGCCTACAGGGAAATATATCCAATAAAACACTGCTCAAAGCCACATTCCAAAAGCTTGATTCTCAGTATTTTCAACTAAGCCTCAGTGATATTATGAACTTAAAAAGAAAATCAAGGATGAGTGGTGGAGAAAATAGCGCACATTCAACTGGATTCAATGTTGTTGCCGCACATATTTGGAAATGTGTAGCTGAAGCGAAAAATCCAGAAAATGACCCAGAAAGACTATCAACAATCCTATATGCTGTCAACGTACGATCAAGGGTTAAACCACGACTTCCATCATCATACGCAGGGAATGCGATTGTTAGTGGTTATTCAACAACCACTTATGGTGAAATTAAGAAAAGGCCTTTCTCACACTTGGTGGAAATGGTTTTTAAAGGTGATGCTAGAATAACAGATGAGTACGTAAGGTCTCTTATTGACTGGGGAGAGTTATATAAAGGGTTTCCATATGGAGATGCTATTATATCTTCATGGTGGAACTTGGGATTAAATGAGATTGAATACCCTTGGGGTAGGCCTAAGTGGAGTTGTCCTGTGGTGCCAACTCATGGCAACAATGCTATCATATTAATCCCAGAGATTGAAGGCAGACGATTTAAAGGATTGCACGTTCTGGTATCTCTTCCAAAGAAGGAGATGAAGATATTTGAAGGCGTTTTCAATGCACTTCTTTGATGATTATTTATGCTAATATTAATGTTAGCAGATATACCTTTAGTGTGCTAGACGCCTAGTTATATATATATTTGCGTAATGGTTTACCTCTATGTATTTGTACCAGTGTGTGACATTATTTATATGACAGCAGTGTCTTAATAACATATATATAAGTTGCACGCTCACAAGCTTGTAACCTTTATACGTACTAGTTTTGCGGATACTCAGCACCTGGATCAGCCAATTAACAAAGGAATTGAGGGGAGAATCATATATTGTATTTGTATGTCCAGAAATTGATCAATGTGAGTTTGGGACCATTATGAAAGTTGTTGTGATTAGGGCTGGCAATTTTACCCGAAATCCGACTTGATTAAATCAGGTTCGGGTCAGGCTTTTTTCTATTTCGGGTCATATCGGGTTGACCCGATAGATCCGAATAGTTATTGGGTTTATGTCCCTCACCTGATAACTCGACCTGATAACCCGAAATCAATCAAAATCAGTCAAAATTATATAAAAAATTGGTCAAATCAGTCAAAATTAGATCAAAATTGGTCAAAATTCAGGATTTCGGGTTATATCGGGTCAGGTTCAGGTTGACCTGATAACCTGACAGGTTAGGTTCAGGTCTGCCTACCTGACCTGTTTGTCTGACCAGGTCAGGGGTTTCTGACCCGCCAACCCGACAAACCCGACCCGAACTGACATGATTGCCACCCCTAGTTGTGATTACTGTGTAAGTGGAGTAACTCATTCACTCTTGTGAAAGGCCGGTGGAATTCAGATGACTAGTGATAACGCATCTACGTACATGCATGTTCGTTGTTGAGTTTGTGACAGGCTTAATTAAAGTCTAAACCCCACTAAATTAATTAAGGCTAGTTAGGTAACAAACCGTGTCCTGCAAAATTTAAGCGTGCTAGCCCGCCATTATTTAGTTGGGACCAGCTCCATCTAGAGATCTGTTGGCACATCGATTTGACATCTTTCTGGCTAAATCTATCGGGTAAATGTATAACGACAGTTGTTAGCAATATTGTGTTTATAATGAAGTGTACTGTGGCAAACTTGGAACTTGGGAGTCTTAAGGAGAGATAGAGACGGAGAGTGAACAATTTTTGTAAAGCTATGCACAATGCAGTTGGTGCCTTAGCTGGCTAGAAAGAGAGGAGAAGCCGTGGACGCAGATGATGGATGCGTTATTTTATTGTGGATCAAAGTAATTATTCTGTCAGGAACCAGCCCTTCTACAGTTCTACTTCTGATGGCTGTGGTGTAGAGGCTGCAGTCTGTGTGGGTAGTCTAAGTACTTTGTGCAATTCTATTGAATTTCTCTCTAATGAAGTGATCAGCTAAAAAATTTTTGCTCTTTCAATCACCTGCCACAACGATCTCATGCTCTGAGTAGGCCCAAAAATAAAATAAAACATTTTACGGCCGAAAAAGTATAATAGAGTCCACTGTATTTGGCTAATTCATGCATGTCTGCAATTCAAATGAGCATCAATTAAAGTTAAATTTCATGTTTCAATCGTACAGATCATCATGCAAAATCTCTGGAAGCGTAGTTGGAAATCAATTAAAGTTAGGAGTAATAATTCAATATTATTTAGGGTCTGTAATTGTGCGGGAAGTCTATTTCTCGGTAAATAAATTGACCACGTGCAAATATTCGGGAAATATATTTTTTACAAAATGATTATAGAGCTATTTTAATTATAGAAATTATTGAAAAATCGTGTAAATATGTTTTTAGTGAGAATGCATTAACATTGAGTTCTAATATGTCCCAACATTTTAACTTATCATTTCGCTTTAAAATTGTACCGCTTATTTACCACGTGGAAAATTGATATTTTCCGAAAAAAAAATTTCTCGGACTTGAATCAAACAGACCCTTAGATTCAATTGATGGAACTAGCTAATGTGCCAGTCACATAATCAAGAGGTACATAGTAACTCCCATGCATGCATGCCAGTAAACTGGTGCCCTGGCCATGGCAGATTCCAGATTGAGTCAACAACCAAGCACTTGTAGTAGTATGTTTATAATATAATGATTCTAAATCAGTGTGGTAACTCACTGTGTAGTCAGCTTTATGCCTTTACTATATGCATATTCCATATTATCGACTGCACGCCACAGATCGAAAAGGTTCTACAAGTAGGGACAGGGAGGACTGAGGGTCTGAGGGATGTGGATCGGACCAGTTTACTGTGGTTGATGTGGTATGTATGTCAATCGACCAACCTTCTAGGCTTCTAGCTTTCTTCGATTTTTCAAAATAAACCAAAATAACATTATATATACTTAATTGGATTTTTGGACACCTCTGACATTATACTTTATTGGATTTTTGGACACCGTATCCAATCTCTAGAAACTAGATATATGTAAGTATATATGCCATTGGATGGTGAAAGGTGGACGAAATGCTAAGAAATCGTAGAAAAAAACTCTTAAATAATGTCAAATGGGATCCCATTCTTATTCATTGACTTGTAGTAATTTAGATATGGTTGAGATGTCTTAGACTATATACACTTTATTCCTCCAATATAGAAGCCAAGTGTGTGTGAAGTGCCCTGTAACTCTGTAAGACTCCTAGAGGCCAATCTATTGTGATTATAGAGGATTTCGGGATCTTTGTTTTGCCACTGAATCACTGATGATGTCAAGGGTCAAAGATATGGAAATCTCAACAAAATTGACCCGATTTTTCACATGTTTTGCATTGTTCAGCAACGTTGAATTGCCCTATAAAAAGACCTTAAGTTCTTTTCACAAAACATAAGTACTGATCTATACACATACACATTGAAGCTTCAAGGCATTGGTTGCTCACTCTCCCTCAAGGGCTTCTATAATGGTCATATAGCTAGATAATTCTCTATGTAATTAACTAGAAGAACTTGAGGGAGAGCGAACAAACCATGTCTTGCAAGCGTACGTACAGGTTGGTGTGTCTGTTCTAGGCATTCATTCAACACTCTCCTTCAAAGGCTTCTAACATTGCCCATTAGACCATTAACATACAGCAAGTTCCAAGTCTTTAAGGGGAGTGAACAATTTTTGTCAAGCTATGTATGTACAATATATATATAATGCAGTTGATGGAGCTAGGCACCTACTATGGCATATATTCATTACTCGCTCTCCCCAACTCTGAAGTTCTTGGGGCGAGTACGTGAATAATAATTGTTGGGATCATATATAATGCAGTTTAGGTCATATAGTACATCATTCTGTGTGTCAATTGTAAGAGAAACCCTT